CCGAGTCTCTGGTGATTTATCGCATCAATGCGTTTCGATTGCTCGCCGATTCGATATGTTACTTTCGATTCGAGTAATGACTCGTATTGATGGATGACCTCTAAGCATCTTGTATTAGATATTCTTTCCTCTCTATATTCATATATATCGATCTATCGGAAACGTTTTACGTTATTCTATTTGATTTACGTAATGGAAGACACTTTTATATGATAAGATGTAATTCGTTTTCTCAAAGAATTTCTCTCGATCTTCGTTTCTATAGCAATCCTTATAAATTCGATCAATTAAATCGTGCCAGCCGTTCGCTCTCCAACCTCAATGCTCAATAATACCCGTAAAGTGCTTTTATAAATATATAGAATCTCCGCGCACGACTAGTGATACATTTAATGTTGCTTTCTTTTTTCTTTCTCCACGGATATTTCATACTCGTCGATTGTATTTATATATTTTATATTTTTAATTGTAAATGAATTAGACTCTCAGTAATGTGAGAAGATTGGAGGAAAGAGAGAGAGGGAGAGAGAGAGAGAGAGAGTGTATGTGTATCTAGGTATCATAGAAATAAAATTAATGTATTGATTATAGTCGTTTGAGACCTCATAATGACTGAATTTATTAATAATATTCCAACATGAAATTTAATTATTGATCATTCAATCGGATCGATTATGAAACGATAACGGAGCATATACAGACACCTAAATGTACATATGGATGTCTATTATTTACTTTTGTTTATATATGCATTGTCATACGATCGATAACTTCATTTTCATTTAGATTTTCGAGGTCTCGCTTCGTGCTGAGTTTTGTTAAAACCTTGAAAAATCGTATCCCTCCGTTAGAAATTCGTTTCTTGAAAATTTACAAAAGCCGAAGATATTATAGCAAAGTTATTAAAGGTTTAGATGTTATCCGTCGTCGATGTAAAACATACTGATCTTAATAAAAAAAAAATGTTCCGTATCGATTAGTATCGTTCACTTTTGCTTTTGTTCTTAATCGATAACACACAGTACGTTGCACAGATTCAAAAATTCATTAACTACATTATTGATTTATCGAATTTACCAACTATCCGGAAGCTATAAAAGCATATATCGACACAGGAATTTGTATATCATTAATCGTATTAAAGCTGAACCAATTAAAATCCCGAGAGGTAAAGAGAATTCGGTTCGTTGATTTCGCTATCACTAATACTAAATATTCTTTAATACTGTCCAGTAAATACAGTTCTGTCTTTATCACACTTTCCTAACAGATGCACTTAACCTTGGATTTTTTTCTTCATTCGTACGGTCTTAACTAGATTTTTTTCTATTATCCTCGAAATTTATAGGTGACCGTACTAGACGTCTAAAGTACGATGGATATTTTGTATCTCACTCTTTCTCTCTCTCTCTCTCTCTCTCTCTCTCTCTGTCTTTCTCTCTCTCTCTCTCTCTCTCTCTCTGTCTTTCTTTCTCTCTCTCTCTCTCTCTCTCTCTGTCTTTCTCTCTCTCTCTCTCTCTCTCTCTCTCTCTCTCTCTCTCTCTCTCTCTCTCTCTCTCTCTGTCTTTCTCTTTCTCTCTCTCCCTCTCTCTCTCTTTTTCTTTCTCTTTCTTTCTTTCTCTCTTATTCTCGTTCTTTCAAAATCGGTCCATCTCTGTCCGTTTACGTCGTAGCATTCCCCCTGTCGATCGAAGGGAAATTTTTCACTACACACGGCAATATCGCTGAATCACTTTCTATAAGATAAACAACAACGTCAAGAAGAACAACAAGGGAAAAGGGAAGACAGGAGAAGAGTGGAAAGAGTTAGGTAGTGTAACTCGAACGTAGAGAAAGGAGGCATAGTTGAAATTTCAATGAAAGACTTACACTAACCCACATAGCTAACCTCGTTTGTATAGGTAACTAACTTCTAGACTACGTTCGTGGAATTTTCAAAAATTTAGGTAAAACTAGGATGTTGAAACGTGTTTCGAACGGACACCAGCAAAAATGCTACATAAAATGGATACCACAACCGGGATTTCGCTTTTCCACGTTCTGCGGAGGGTTTGAGTAGTTGCACGAGCGGGACGTACGTCAAAAGTAATTAAACTACAATCGTGTCTAATGGCGAGCCAGATAACCGCTTGCTCCGCGAATGGTAGCGTCCGTTCGTTTTCAAGCGTGAATCGTACGAGGTTGTGGAACGACTGTTGAGATTGTAGCTCGATCGAATCGTTAATTTAACGCGATAGTAGCTTAAACATAGAGACGTCAGCAAGTTTCGGATTGAATTTTAGAAATTGATCTTCTATCGTCATTGATATTTTATTGTCAAATACAATATTTAGGTATTTGATGTCAGATATAATAAAAAAAAAAAAAAAGAAAACAAAAATTGCGGAATTAAATATTAAAATAAATTCGAACGTTAAATCGTTCCGTACCGACGGAATTTAACAATTACTTCTTTTACATATTATTTTTTTCTTTTTTTCTTTTTTCTTTTTTCTCCTTTTAACAACCGTTATCGATCACGGTTTAGGAAGGATAACCAGAAGAGAATTTCGGGGCAACATAATTTATCGGCTTCCTACATCCTCATGGAATTCTACGAAGCCGAGAGGGATCATACACGAGTAAGATAAACGTTATATCCGTTGGCTGAAATATCGGCCGCGAATTCGACCAATTTCAAAGTCTCGTATCTTATCCGTTGCATGAGTTTCTCCAGCTTCAACGCATTTCAAGACGAATAAGTAAGAAAGTAAGTACGTAGTTTTCTTATAAGGATAGTAGCAATTAAATCAACCTTTTGTCTCCGTTATCCATCCTTGTCACAGGGGTTAACCTCATTACATGGAAAGCTTCGTATAGTTAAAGCGTTCATTTTACCTCGACCTGATCTATGCATGCATACACCTATGTTGTTTATCTATGCTCGACAATCCTCCACCTCTCCTCCTCCTCCTCCTCTCCTCCTCCTCATCCTTCCTCCACTTTATACGTAAACATTGTGTGGTCGCACAACACGAAGCAATTAAGAATTGACATACCATAAAGTAAATTTTATATAAGCTTTTCTTACGATTTTAAATCATTTCTTAGTGAGAATTAACAATTTCGAAATGCGTTTCTCGTTTACTTATTCGACAAACGTAATAAAACAAAATGAAGAGAAGAAATAAGCGGTAATTAAATGAATTCGAGAGTGCCCTATCACAATTTGCTTCTTCGGAGGTGAATCATGGGGACGTCATAAACGACTCTTGGCTTACGCCTCGGTATTGCTAAATATTTAACGAGACACTGTAAAGACGAGATATGCTGTATTGCTAAAACTAGCTGCGTTCGCAACGACGATAGCTTGAATGTTTATAGCCAAGAGAAATGGAGAAAGATAGATAAAGCTTTGTAAGCATAGTGTTGCAAGCGCGAAAAAAAAAAGCCACGAGACCGATCGATTTGCGAAGGAAAGATCGATAACGTGTAGCTAGTAGGTTAGTAGATACTTAGCAACTCTTGGACGTGTTTCGAAGGAACATTGGAATAATAAAACTGACTAGAAGAAAAAGGAGAAGAAAAGAAAAGAAAAGAAAGAGAGAGAGAGAGAGAGAGAGAGAGAGAAAGAGAAAGCGAGAAGATTTTTTGTCGTGTGATTCCCAAAAGGTCCAGTCCAATTAAAACTTTTCACAGCTATTTCTTTGTCGAGAGATCGACAATTTAAATCGTAAAAAGGAAGAAAATCAACTGCTCTGTTTTTGAAGCACGAACGATTTATCGAGAAGTCTACTTTAACGAGAAGGAAAGAAAAAGAAAGAGAAAAAGAAAGAGAGAGACAGAAAGAAAGAAAGACAGAAAAAAAGAGAAGATCCTTCTCGCTTCTTACGTTCTAATGCTGATATATGTACGACGAACAAGCCATTCTCACTTTCCATAGGCCATTTGCATTTTACCCTATCCAACTCCAGCTCTTCTTCCTCCTGTTCTCCCTCCTCCTCCTTCTCCTCCTCCTAACCCACACTTTTCAACTCTCGTTTATCCGTTTTCTACAAAATCGCGCTTTAATAGCATCATTCACTATGGTGGATGACAAACGAGCCGGTGGAAGAAAAACAACTCAGTATTCGCGATGCGAATCCCACGGGATTCATCGGCCCTGACATTTAAACACGCGTCCTACTCCTATTTTTTGATTAGTCTAATACGCCTACACCAGTCTGAACGAGCAACGACAACACCCGAAGATAATCGTGAAAATTACTAACCAAAGCCCCGACCTGAACTTTCGAAATCGAATATAAAAGAAAGTAAAGCTGGTCTTCTTTGATCGCGTTGAAACACGCGATCGTTCGGGAAAATTCGATGAATAGTTCTTTTTCGTTCTTATTTTTTCTCTCTTTCTCGTTACAAGTAATTCGAGTAAGTTATAAACAAACACATTACGAAATGCAAAAAGTTGAACGTCTGTTTTACTCATACAAGCTGAGATCGATAGTATTTGAAATCGATAAATCTTAGTTCTCCGTGTCTGTCGATCGATCGTTAACACATCGAAGATTTTTACTCGTTCATTCTTATAATTTTTCTTGGAAGAAGAGTTTTAATGTTTTATCATAAATACCGATTATAAGGAAAAAACATTGACTCAAACTCTTTATCAAAATCTCTTTTTCAATATTTTCAATTTAAAAAGAACCATCAAACTTATCTATATTAATAAATATACTATAATATAATAATATCTCAATTATATGAATAACTTGCGAGACAATTTAAGAGAAGATATATGTGTATATATGTATATATATATATATGTATATATATATATATATATATGTATATATATATATATGTATATATATATATATAAAAGATAAAATTATTATTAAAGAATCGATTAAACCAGAACATTTTGAAAGGAATTATTCTCCTTTCAAATACTTTCTAATAAATCATGAGTTCGCTTTATGTATCCGTATAATCGTGATTGCAAGCGATATTGGTAAAAGCATTACCTGAGATCGTTAGCTCTGTGCATTCTCATACCACGCGGCGGATGTCGCGGGGGTGGCGTGCACCTGCAGTCACAATGCATGACGCAAAGGGCGACGCTAGTTGCAAGAGTTACAACCAAGGGTGCCGCGAAGAGATGAATGATCGTAGCTACATGCGCCTCCCTATTATAAGATGCCATCACGATGCTGCCGTTAACGCGACTGTAGTAACACGGAAACTTTGCACCCTCGTAACCCATGTCACGAGTGAAATTCTCACAATCTACGACCGGTGGATAACCGCAGCCCTTGATGTTAACAAGAAGTACCGCCTCGATGTCGCCACTCGTTGGTGCTGTCGTATGGGAAAAACAAACAATACATCGGATTTAATTTATTAATCTGATATTAAGTAACAAAATAGTTCGTACAATCTTTTTTCTTTTTTTTCCTTCATTTTCTTTTTTTTTAATTCTTTCTTTTTAAATTCTTTATCACATTCTGTATCTCACGTGGTTACACGACCTATCTACGCATGCGCGTCAATCGTTGAAAAGTGTACTAACATTAAAAAGCATACAAACTTGTTGAATTACTTAACAAAAAGAAAAAAAGAAAAAAGAAAAAGTAAAGATTACTATTAAAGAGAAACGGTGGATCTTACCAGGTGTAGCAGCGGTGGTCGTAGTTGTGGTGGTAGTAGTAGTCGTAGTAGTGCCACTAGTTGTTCCCGTATCGTTTTTCATACTATCGTTGTTCCAAGGTGAATATGTGACGTATATATGTGTACACCTGTAAACGTCACTGGTACATCCCTCCCGGCAAGAACTCCAAGTGCAATTGAAAAGACCCCAAAGTTCCTCTCGTCTGGAGGTTGTGCAGATAACCGGTTCCGGTGAGAAATCGGCGGCTAATGTACTGATCGCCGGATCAACGTAAAGCGGTACCAGGAAGAGGAGGGCGGCGCCGCCTGAGGTCGCGACGAAGGCCAACGCCGAGGTCGCGTAAAAGTTTAGCCGCTGACGGCAGGTACGCCGTGGCGGTCGGCGCCTCGCAGCGCCAAATCCTAACTCCAACAGTTTGCGACGACGTAATTCTCGTTCCTTCGACTCACGTGCCTCGTTTTTCTTCTTGTATCGTTCTTGACGATGATGATGATGATGGTGATGATAGTGGTGGTGATGGCGATCGCTACCACTTTCTCCTCCACCTCCACCTCCGTCTCCAATATCGCCTCCTACGCTCGAGCTTCCGAGGCTCTGCTGTCCGTAATAACGACGATGATGATGATGATAATCGTTCTGGCACTGGCACTGACAATGACAGTGACAGTGCCCGCAGCTCGCCTCCAACAGAAGATCCGAGCTGCTTCCACGCATCACCCACCTGCGGCTCTCAAAGAGGCGCCAACCCGATCCTCGTTCTCCTCGTTCCTTCGAATCTCCTCGTTGTCTTCTTGGCAGACACCGAATGACTCTCTGATAATCGCCACGACTCGGTGCCGCGATTCCCTCCTCTAGGATTCCTTCCGCTAGGACTCATCGAGCGTCCTCACTTACCGGATCACCGCGACCGATCCTTCTTTCTTCTTCTTCTTCTTCTTCTTCTTCTTCTTCTTCTTCTTCTTCTTCTTCTTCTTCTTCTTCTTCTTCTTCTTTCTCTTCTTCTTCTTTCTCACTCCAATACTTTCAAGTTTTTTCGACCGATTTTCCGTCGATAAACCGATTGATAGCTCCTCTCCCTCTTATCTCACTTCTTTTCTTTTCCTTTCGAAACAATTTTTAAAAACAATTCTATCGATCATAATCTCTCATAGATTACGAGACCTTCGTTGAAACGATAGGAACGATGAAGCATCGCGAAATGGATCAATCTCCTGGATCATTCCTCGTGTAAATCCTCTTAAAATCGTTATCTCTGATCTTCAGATTGTATCGCAGGCGCGCTCGACGACAACAGATTCGATATTTTCAATGCCGTGATGGTATGTTCAGCCGCAACGGTATGTTCAACCGCGCGGGGCTTTACAAACCGAATCCGTGAATCGTTGCTAAGCCGATCGCGAATCTGGCACCTCATTGGATTCTCCTCTTTTAATTAGTGGAATGTACATAGCTCATTGGACTCAATTCGCGAGCAGGTGAAATTCAGAAACACTATAATTCCTTTCTTCGAAGTTTTATTACATTCTCTTACTTTTTATTTCATTTTTTTTCCTTTTTCCTTTTTTGTTTTTTTTTTTCTTTTTCGTTAGATTATATATCGTTGTCTCTCGTAAAGATAGGCCTTCAAGGGGAAAAAGTAAACTTCTCCACGGTAACTCACTGAAATCTTCATTAATGATACAAAGAGAGGGTCAGAGTCGTTGTCTTCTTCTTAGACCAAAGATAAAATTCAACTCAGCTAGTCGTCGTTTCCTTTAGCCTCTCATGATATCGTTCTAAATTAATTACGATATTCTCTCTTAAAGGAAGAAGATATCCCGTCGTACTCCTTGATATTTATTATTTTGTGAATGTCCTTTCGATGATTCTTTCTACTTGTTTATATATGGAAATAACAAGTAATCTATGTAACACATTACCACATCCTTTACTCTCTCTCCCTTTGATATCTGATTCTATCAGTACAATCTCTTTTTAATTTTTTTCCAAATCTTATTCACTTACGAATATCCTTCGGTATATAGTTCTTTTCTTCGAACGACTCTAGTTGCTCCTTGACATTTTCCAAGATGTCCCGCCTTTTCTATCGTTCTCCTTTTCTCAGAAATTTTTCTTTGTCGACGAGAAAGAAATATAGAGAGATAGATAGATAAATAGATACATAGATAGATAGATAGATAGATAGAGAGAGAGAGAGAGAAAAAAGGAAGGGAGAGAGAGAAAGAAAAGGAAGGGAGAGAGAGAGAGAGAGAGAAAAAGAGATAGAGATGGAGATAGATAGAGAGATAGACGGAGAAAGAGAGAGAAAGAAAGAGTTAAAGAGTTAGACTGAGAATATTGAATCACGCGTTACAACGACGTTATCCTACGATCGATCCTTGCACGAACCACCTGTACTGATGTATACACGAGAGCTTTCTCCTCTCCTCAGGCGCGCGCTTTGTTATATTCTTCTTATATAAAAGAGAGGGAGAAAGAGAAAGAGAGAAATAGATAGAGATGGACAGAGATATATAGAGGTAGATAGAGAAAGAAAGGAGCATAAAAACAGTGAGAATTCTTGGATATTGACAACGGTAACGATGATAATGACGATGATGATAAAAAGGAGGAGGAGGAACAAGAGGAGATAGAGACGATAAGCCTCTTTTGCTCTTACGAAAAGGAGCCGTACTTGTCTGATCTTGTGTGTCCCGGCACCATCCGCCTCGCGGACCGCGAGTTAAAACGCGACTAGTCGTCCAACGTCGTACAAAAGTCCTCGATGGGACAGGCTTTCGTCCGAAACGACAGGGCGGGGTTCCATATGCGCATGAGCGAGTGCTACACTCCACCACCCTTATCCTCCTCTCTACATAACATAACTCCATCGCGCACTACGGTGCATCCTCCTTGTTTATGCTCTCTCGGCGAGTCCTTCCTCTTTCACCTCCCACCTTTCTCCTTTTCTCTCTTTCTCTTTCTCTCTCTCTCTCTCTCTCTCTCTCTCTCTCTCTCTCTCTCTCTCTCTCTCTCTCTCTCTCTGTTTCTGTCTCTGTCTTCCTTACTCTTTCTTCTTCTTTGATACTTCCCTCCTTTACTTTCTTCCACCCCTTCTACATATTTTCTCATTCCTTTCCATACGATCTCATCATTATCGTCCTTTAATTACGTCCAATAATTAATTCAATATTTTTTTATTTTTATGTTCTTTTTGTTTTGTTTTTATTTTATTCCTCCTATATCCTTTATATTCCCAAGTTATTATATAAAATTATAAAATTCGTCGATGAGCAACAGTTCAACGAATTTCAAGTATTTTTGGGTCAATATCAAGTATTTTTCTTTTCTTATTTATCTTATTTAATTTAATTTTACTTTCCTTTTCTTTTTGTTTTTTTCTTAAAACCAACAGAGAGAAAACATGGATTCGATCATGGTGATATAATAAATATATATATATATATTTAGACAGAAATAGTATAGTTCTCAATCTATTCTTCGAGATACGCTTTTTCCAGTATATATACAATTCTCTTACGTATCGATGCACTTAAAGAGTGCAAATCCACAAACCCTCTCTTTTTTTTCGAGAGAGAAGAAGAGAGAGAGAGAGAGAGAGAGAGAGAGAGAGAAAGAGAGAGAAAGAGAGAGAAAGAGACAGAAAGCTTCTTTGATCGTTTGCACGGTCGAGTTTTACAAGTGAGTCTAAATAAGTTGGATGAAATTCTCATGAACGATCACTTCTTACTAAGATAGAATGTAATATTACTATTGCCGAACAGTGTTTCGTAATAATATTGCTAAAAACCAGCCTTCCCAAAATTACCACAATTATCCAAATTAATAGTTCATATTTTTTTGAGAATTATTACTATTATTCTTATTCTTATTTTTATTCTTATTATTACTATCCTTATCATTATTATCATCATGATCATGATTATCATCATCATCATCATGATTATTGATATCATTATTATCATTATTATTATTATTGTTGTTATTGATACTGTTATTGTTATTGTTATTCTTATTACTATTATTACTATTATTACTATTATTACTATTATTATTCCTCTTATTTACGCTTTAAATCGTTTACTATCGATTATAGACTCTAAATATCACAACTCGATAAAAATGAGAAAATGGTTGGATAAGAATAAATCAATGTCGAGTAAGAGAATGCAAAATGCAAGGTCCGACTGATGACGAAATGCACGAAAGTGAGCGTCATTCGACATTACTTATGACGTCATATCGAAACGAGAGAAAGCCGTTAAAAAAAAGATTGCTTTTGGTACGTCTATGTGTCGTGAAAAGGAACTTCGTAAATTTAACGTTGGCAGTACTGAGTTAACGCGTATGAAATTCTACGCGTGGCAACCTTGATGTCTACGGCCAATCAGGCAATGTTGTTTCCATTTGCGTTGACCAATCAGATGCATTGAACGCCATGACCAGAATGCATTGCACATTGAAAGAATAGCGTGAAGGTGGGGGGAAACGGTCTAGAAAGTCTCTCACGGCGTGGCTTCGTTCTCTTCGTTGTCGAGCGGCGTAGTGGGTGCCACCACTTTTCGAGGACGACTACGAAACGAGCTGCTACGTATCTAGCGCGAAGGCGAAGGAGAGGAAAGAGGAGGCTTCGATCGGTAGACGTGCCTTCCTCTGATCATCCTCAACCAGTCTCACGCGTAATAGAAAATATGGCGGGAACGGAGACGCCAAACGTAAAGTCCGACATAACGAACCCATCCTCTGAGACAAACGAAAATAATGCAAGAGAAAGGAACGTTCAAGGCGGAGGTGGAGGTGGCGGTGGAGGTGGTGGAGGAGGAGGAGGTGGCGGCGGCGGTGGCGGCGGAAGTAACCGTGGACCTCGTGGTAGAAAAGGAGGTACAAGATTTTCCGGCGGACGTGGCGGTGGAATGATGGGTGGAAGAAACGATGGACCGGTAAGAACGTTCATTTTTCTTTGCTTTCTCTTTCTTTCTCTGTCTTTCTCTCTCTATATATATGTGTTTGTGATATATATATATATATGTATGATATATATGCATATATATATGATATACATATTTATGCGACGAGATCTTTGAATATTGGCCACAATGCGTCTCGTTTCGCGGCCATCTTTTTTATTCTGTCCACGCGTCGTTTCTTATCGATAATTTTGTGCCCTTCTCAGCATGCTTCCTAATAAAAATTACGATCAGAATTTAACATTTTTTTACTACGTAACTTTTATAGGATTAAAGATTATATATATATATATGGAATCTATATGAAATCGTTTATAAGACTATTTGAAATAAGACGCATATCGTTTTTGTTCACGATCGTTGTTTCTCAATGTATTAACTATATCAACTTTATATATTATTTTTGGGCTTCTCTAATACCTCATTTTATACTTATGAGTTGTCCTGTTGCGTACCAGCTAAAGTAGTTTAGATATATTGTTTCATTATTCGTAAGATATTATTAAAAGATTTCTAACTTATTTTTTTATTATCTAAATGCATAACATTACCATATGATTATATGTAATTTGTAGAACATTTTCACTTGAAGAAAAGTAGATTCATCGGGTTATCGATCTTTTTTAGACGCCATTAGTAATCTTACAGAATGGCACGTCTCAAAATGGTTGCATACCGACGCGATGCTTCTATAGATGGCGCACTATAAAGGAACACGTGTTTCTAATATATATTTCATATGCGATAAATTATGTTGTATACTTGAGATTTTTTTTTGTAAATGAGGAAAAGTTGAAAAGTGTCAATAAATTTATTAGTTTTATACTTCTTGTTAGAGATATTTGATAAATAAATTCAATAAAAATGTTTTAGATGAAAATGAGTGATTCCATGATAGATGGTGGCTTAGATAATACAATGTCGGAAGGAATGGAGGTATGGGAGGAATGGGTGGTATGGGTGGTATGGGAGCTCGTGGAGGCGGTATGCGTGGTGGTAGAGGCGGCAGAGGTGGAGACCGAAATATGGGAAATCGTTCTCAAGATGTAAGTTTCTAAATTTTGAAGTAAGAGAATAAAGAAAACTTTTGGACGAAGATTTTAGACATTTTGTTATAGGATCGATTAATGGAACGGATAATGGCTATAAGTGGCCCTACACATGAGTTGCCACCTCAAGAAACTGCAGAAAAGAAATTCAGTGGTCGTAATCGCTTATATATTGGTAATCTTACAAATGATGTTACCGAAGAAGAAATCCAGGCGATGTTCGCACAGTATGGTGAAATATCCGAACTATTTGTGAACAAGGAAAAGAATTTTGCATTTCTTAGAATGGTAAATTACTTTAATTTTTAAATACTTTATACGCGTTATGATATTTTGCTGATATGATTAAAATAATTACCGTTTGATAAAATTATGATACAAACTTAATGGCTGTAAATTTTTTATGATTGTATTAACTATATATATGTATATCAGTAGTCTTCTTAAACGAATTCAATTCTAATACAGTTTGTTTATTGCTTATCTTAGGATTATCGAGTAAATGCAGAAAAAGCAAAACATGAGTTAGATGGAACTATGCGTAAAGGTCGTGCTCTTAAAGTACGATTCGCTCCTCATTCTTCTACGATAAAAATAAAGAATCTCACTCCATGGATTTCGAATGAATTGCTAGAGAGGGCATTCAGTGTATTTGGAGAAATTGAACGTGCAATCGTTATTGTTGACGATAGAGGGAAGTCTACAGGTGAAGGTATCGTTGAATACTGCAGAAAACCATCAGCGCAACTTGCTTTGAGAAAATGTACGGAAGGGTGTTATTTCCTTACTGCGTAAGTTTATTCAAAATGATTATTTAACTATCTTTATGAAGCCCCGAAGCCACGCTTGTGATAAATATTTCTTTATCAGCAAGTGCCGTAAATATTTTCTAGGGGAATAAAAAAATATATTCCACATATATAGGAACCATGGCAGATTATTATTCTTTGTGCTGTGTGCCAAAAAGTGGAATACAAATTTATTTATTTATTTATTTATTTATTTATTCTTTTATTATTATTATTATTATTATTATTATTATTATTATTATTATTATTATTATTATTATTATTATTAAGAACACTTATTTCCAAAAAGATAATGATAAATATTTATATTCTAATAATTTTAATTAATTTCAGATCTCTTCGGCCTGTAGTTGTCGAACCTTTTGAACAACAAGACGATATCGATGGTTATCCTGATAAAAATTTACCACGTAAGAATCCCGAATTTTTCAAGGCTCGTGAAATTGGACCAAGATTCGCGCAAATAGGTAGTTTTGAACACGAATATGGAACAAGGTGGAAACAGTTACATGAATTATATAAGCAAAAAGAAGAAGCACTAAAACGAGAAATGGCAATGGAAGAAGAAAAATTAGAAGCTCAAATGGAATTTGCAAGATATGAGCATGAAACTGAATTACTTAGAGAACGTACGTATTTGATATTTTTGTCTTAAAAAAAAAGTAGATCAGAAGCTTTTAATAGTATTATTCACATTGTAATTATTATTTACAGAATTACGTATGCGTGAAGCTGATAGAGAAAGACAGAAGAGAGAATGGGAAATGAAGGAACGACAAGCGGAAGAACAGAGAACACGAGAAGAAGAATTAAGGAGACGTCAACAAGAAGAAATGGCGATCCGTATAAGACGGCAAGAAGAAGAACTACACAGGCGACAACAAGAAAATAATTTGTTCATGCAGGTGAGTTTGAACAACTAATTTCGTTTTCCTGTCTCACTTTTGATTTTTTTTTAATTAAAAAAATAAACCGTTAGCGATTAAATAAATACTTAATTACAATGCATTGTCCGGTATAATGTACTTTATAAAAATCTAATGTTTAACGATACTTAGGGCTCTGCTCCTTTTATTTTTAAGGAGCAAGCGATGAGAGGTGGTGGTGCAGGCGGCGGTGGTGGTGGTGGTCTCGGAGGCGGAAAGAATTATGATTCCGTTAGTAATAGTGATCGCGACGGTTATGGCCAACCAGACGGTAAGTTAATTTTTTTCTTTAACTATGCTTATATTGAATTTGAATGATTTGAAATTGCATTGCATATTCGTCTATTTGAAAAGAAATAGAATTTTAATTTTATATGTTCAACACGTTGCTGCAAATAACGGTTATAAGCCATCTTGCACATGACGATTGACGTTCAATTTCATGTGGCAATAATAAACAATTAAAAAAAAATGTTTCTAAACACGATCGTCAAATTAAGTGTGCGGCAGCATGTTAAGAAACAAAATGAACATCTTACGGGACTATATCATTCATTCATTTTTATAAATACTCACGCATATATATAATTGCTTATAACATCTGAGTCTACAGCAACAAATGCTAAAATTTCTTAAATATTAGTTAATAGCAGTAGTGGAATGATTAAAAGTTGAAAATCATTTGCAATCACATTGTAAATGTTTTTTTTTTATTGTTAATTACAGGTGGAAGCAGTATGCCAGTGGTAATGTATCTTTTGCATTTACAATTTAGTTTTATAAGTTCTAATCTATATCTTTACATTTCTATCTTGAAACGTTTTATTTCTTCTTCTTTCTATATTTTTTATTTCTACTTTGACGAAATAATCACAAATAATCACGACTACATATGCCGCGAATCCGTAAATCGGGAAGATCAAACTACAGGTTTTTTTTTTGCATGAAAATATTGGAGCCAGTTTGATAGAAACTGCCACTGCCAATATCTCGATATTTTCTAGTGGTATATTCCATAATATCCCCGTGAGCATGCTGTCTGATATAACAGAGTTCTAATGTCTGCAACACTGCCAGATGTTTTATTTATTTTTTTTATTGATATAATTCTTTTTTGAACACACATAGACACATACACACATACACACACATTCGTAAAATTATTTCGTAATAATATTTAAGAGGCATTAACATGTGGAGGCGTCAATGAGCATGTAAAAACATCTCTCGTTATATTGGGTATCGAAAGATATATAAGTAACATCCATTAAAATAAGAAACATTCTGCATATTAATTACTTATAACAGTTAACAACTATATGTATATATTTATATTTTTTAGAAATATTGAAATACGACGATCAAGACAATAATTTGTCATTTTTAAGCATTATAACACTTCTTCAGTATCTTCATTCTTAAATCATGCAAGATGTATTATACGATAACATCTTTTAAATATTTTTTAAGATAATGTTCATGGGTTATATCAAGGAATTGAAGTGGGGAAAAAACATCGCTATTTTTTAAACGCGTCATACTTCTGATCTCGAATTTTCTTGAAGGTTTTTTAGGATTGCCCAAGTTTCTACATGATTCGATAATCTAAAATTTTCTTTGCCGCCTTTTTCTTCGTGATGTCTTCTTAATTTAATTCGTTAGGATTGGGGAATATATATCTATCGTTTTTTGTGATTCTACTCTCGATCGAAAGCACGTCAATGTGTGAACGTATACATATGCATGGAATAATAATATATGTGCCCATTTTTATGTCATTTTCTTTAGGAAAATAATATAATATAAAGAAAAAAAAAAGTGAAAGTTATGTTCACGAGATCTGTGAACTTTAACTCGGGGGTAAAGATATCGTAATCGGTGATTTTATATAGTACTTAAAATATATTTTCAGATCGTTGGGGGAAAAAAATATATATACACTTAGGATCTCTAATTAATCCATGATCTATGTAAAGAAATTTTTGTCTTCAATCGTAACGATCTTAACTTTTCTAACTTAGGACTGAAATTGAAACTTGCTGCGTTTGGTCTCTCCACATGCTTGCAGACAGGAGACTCTGTTTTTTTTCTCTAGTTCAGTTAAGATTTAGGTGTTCATCTACTATGGAACTTCGAATTTTCTATGAATACAATATTTTTCTACTGAAATTGATTTCGTATTTAATTTTCAATTTTTAATATTAAATATATAAGAAATACTTTTAAAAGGATTAGTTCCATAGTAACTATTTGCTGACCAAGCAATGCCCAATTTTATCAGACATTTTAGAGAATGTTTTATACGTTTACTCTCACAGTTTTATTGGATTATATAAATCTCTTAATTTTAATGTCCCCCCCTCCCCTCTATATATATACGATATGTTCTTTGTGAATAATTCTTTTAAATGAACTATGTGAAATATGGAAAATCTCTCTAGAGTCTGTATAGTACGTAGAGTTTGCTTGGAGATCTTGATCAAATCTCCTTGCTCCTCACACCGTGTTCAGACTCTAAACACTAAAAATTATCTGTCCTTGGGGTAATACTACATATAATTTAATATTATATAAAACTAAAAATCAAAGGTATATTGCTAGCACTCGATACTTTTTTAACCATTATCAAAAATGAAAAATATTAAATCTGACCTCTCTTAATATCGCTATAAAACTTTAACTCTAATATAGTATACTTTTTTCAATGTGAATCTTTATCAAAAGAGAAGGGAAAAGAAAAATGTTTTGAGAAATCTCTAATGAATGAAATTTATGAATAATTTTTTTTCCCCGATTTGAAATAACATTCACGTTCTATTTTGAGTATATCGTTTAAATACTCAATACTATATTGCATATGATTTTTTTGTTTTAGCGAAAACTACTTCTAGTCTAAGAAAAAATGCTAACAGCATTTTAGAAACATACTATTTTAAACTCTTCGATCACGAAGCGTTGTTGTATCAATGCGTTTTATATACTTCAAGACCTAAGCAATATGGTATTATGAATAGACATTTTCGCGTTAACATAATCTAATTTTAATAACGATCATGTACCATTATGGCTTCTCTTTCTAAATACCTATGACAACGACGAAGACGAGACTACGTACGCTCTCTAAACAATATCCATCATTGTGTCTGCGTTGGGCATTTGCTTGGTCTTATTAAGAAATCGATGTTTAAATAAAAAAAGGAAAATATTTTATATACATATATATATAGAGAGACATTTCCTTTGAAAGACGCTGATTAAAAAAAAAAATAAGAAAAAACATTAAAGAATAATATGCGTCTAAAAGTGAATCGATATATTAATAAATATATATCTCACGTATTCCAATATGTTATATCAATTATAATACTACTACTACTACTACTATTAGTACTACTACTACTACTATTACTACTACTACTACTACTACTACTACTACTACTACTACTACTACTACTACTACTTATACATATTATATAAACCACGCACGCAACATCTAACATTGTGTTTTCCCCTTTCTTTTCTATGTGATTTGACGAAAATTGTGACGATGACCTGTGCGCTGCTGTCAAACATGTGGATGGTCGCCCTGAAAAAACGTGCGAAAATCTATTTATGGTACATCCAAAACTCTGTTCTCGGTGTCCTGTTCTATCTGAATGAACACACGAAAACAAACAATTGTACCGTTCACGTCGGTGATCATATCTCAACGTACTACTCTTTCGGACGCTACGACATCATTAACAAAAAACAAAACTTCTTGACGAAACCTAAAAACGAAAAAAAAACGAACCAAAATATGGATCAATCGGGATATCGTTCCGCGTGATTTATTAATTGCTATATAATATCGTGTATCGCATATATCACATTTGCTGCGAATGTTAGGATCCAAAGTCGTTTATGGACGCATACAATAACATGGATCGTGGTAGTCGCGGTGGCTATAGCGACGATCGGGGACAAATCATGGATTTGATGGATATGAGAGTAGATATGAGTAATATGGGTGGCGGTCGTGGTGGTAGTGGCGGAGGTGGACGTTGGCAAGGAAACGATCGAAATCGTCAAGACGATTATCCTAATAAAAGGAGACGTTATTAGAAAGAGAAAGAAAAGTATGAAATAAAATTTAAGATAGAAAAGCAAAAGCGAAAACAAAGAAGAAAAGATAAAAAAGCAAAACAAAAACCGCGTAAAATATTACACCTTTCTTCTCCATATCTCTATCTTTAATATCTCTTTCGAGACATACATACAGATCATTTTCGTTGTGCGATTCGCTTCATTCTTGATACTATTTCTCTTTCTATCTCTCTCTTTCTCTCTCTATTTCTATCACTATTTCTATCTATCTTTTATAATGACTGGAATATATATATGTGTGTATTATATATATATATATGTGTGTGTGTGTGTGTTATATATACATATATATATATATATATAAACCGATGAATGAATAAACTCTTTATCTATCTCTTTCTTACTATCTATCGGAATCTAAAGAAGTACATCATGCCTCTTACGTCCGATATAAATAATGAAACGAAGGGAAAGAAAATTAGTCTTCTTTAGAATCGATGAACAACGATATGTAGGGAAGAAAGGGAAGATTAGAAAAAAGTGTCAGATATATCGTCCGCATATGAAAAAAAGGAGGAAAAAATGAATACAAAAATATTGAAAAAAAAAGGAAAAAAAAATAATGAAAAGAAGAAATGGAGTAGTAGCTTCTATGAGAAAGTAGATCACGCAACGAGATACAAAACGTATGTGTGTGTGTATGTGTATATATATATACATATATATATATATATATATTATATACACACACAAACTGTCCGATGTTCTCTGCGCTCGAAATACTTTTGCTGGAAAAAGAAAAAGAACAAAAAAAATATCGAACTACAAAATATATATTTATAATTTACGATTTTCTAAGTTAAGGCATTAGGTTATACATACATAATATACATACATACATACATAATATACAAACATACATGCATACATACATGCTACGTATATAATATAGATTGCATTTTTTTCCCTTTTGGACCGAGAACGACATACTTCCATTTTCCTATTTTTCGAGCAAAATATCGTATAAAAAGGAGAAAGATTTATATATATATATATATTATATATTATATATATATTATATATATATATATATATATATATATATATATATATTAAAATGTGTACGTTTTAAGGGTTTGTTTCGGTGCGCATGTACTTCAAAAATAATCATGTGAGAAATCTATAAAATTGATATATTTGACATTAACCAAAACTTTTAATCTCTATTCTCTCGGCAGACATTAAATGTACAATTTCTATTTCGTGCTCTTTACGAAGTGAAATATACTTTATATTGTAAAGTAAAGTTTGTTGTACGCTTTGAACGACGGATTAATTTCATCGAGATTACATTACATTGGACTTTTGTGAAAAAAAAACAAAAACAACAAGAAAAATGAAATAACAAACGAGAAATCATCTCATCTGACAAAAACTATAATTTTATCAATAAAGTTTTATGAACATATAAATATCTCTCGAATCTCTCTTTATGTGATTTCTGCAACTAGAGTCGCACAAGAGACGATCCTAACATGAACTTTTATATATGATTAACTCTGTTTTTCTTTCTTTATATATATATACACACACCACACACACACACACACACAAAAGAAAGTCGTGCGAACGATCTTTCTGCAGTAATCTCTCAATCACGAGAACATTATGATTTTTTTTTTTTTCTTTTTTTTCTTTTTTTTATGATCCGTAATGTTTTCTACTGTCTCTTTATTTAATTGTCATTAATATTTTCTATCTTTTAGAAAGATATGGGAAAATCTAACCTCGCATTAAACATCGTTAAAAAAGTGTCTTTTTTCGCAGATTAATTAAATTAATTTACCCGTGTTCAATAGACCGTTTTATTTAATAATCAACCTTGATAATGATTATATAAAGAGGAGTTGAATGTTAATGCATAAAGAAAATAAAAAAAAAAATAATAAAAAAAAAAAATAAAAAAAAAAGAATTAAATTCGATTAGATAGATTATATATACGTACCGATAAAATATGTTCTGAAAAAATGAGACCCTTGAGTAGTATTTCTCCGTATATATTCTTATAGACAAGATATTCGGAGGCGTCCGTTTCGTATCGTTATCTTGTTAAACTAAAACTAACTTTTCTATGAAGTTTATTTTATTTGACCTCGACTACATATTTACATGTTATATTTAAAACATACATATATCTTATTATAAATTCTAACTTTTTTTCTTTAATTTTTTTTTTATAATAGAATATGATATATATAGATACATAGATTTAAACATACATTATATTATTTGCTTAGTTTTATATCTTTTTTATTATGATTTTTTTTTCTATCCATGGAATTTTATTTTATTTCATTTTATTTTATTTTAGTTCGTTTTATTTTATTTTATTTTATTTTATTTTATTTTATTTCGTTTTATTTTATTTTATTTTATTTTATTTTATTTTATTTTATTTTATTTTATTTTATTTTATTTTATTTTATTTTATTTTATTTTACTTCATTTCATTTTGCTTTGTTTGGTTTTGTTACGTTTAATTCCCCTTTTGTTTCATGTCCGATAGAAGGAAGTATTAATGAGAGAAAGAAAAAGAATGAAATAACATCCATTTTGTTACACGTATTAGTATGTTATGATTTAAAATATTATGATTTAAAATAGAATAGAAAATTACGTATTTATTATTATTTAGCGTCTCCTGTAAGTGAATCGAATGTTGTAAGATAATTAAGATTACGAGGAAAAAATTCGTTGATTACGAACATATCCTTTTTTTGTTTGAAAAGAATGATATGTGTAATTATCGATATAAACAAAATCTACAATAATTATTCGGAGAGAAATGAAAGACAAATTTGTCGTTCGACGAAAAATAGAAAGGGAAGAAAGAGGAAGATATAAACAATATGTTTATTCCTGTTATTCGCTTGATTGTAAAATTATTTTATTATCAAGTTGAACGGACAACAAAATTCTCTCTCTCTCTGTTGTTCGTGCAATTCTCTCTTACGAAAAATGAGATGACTGACTCTGTTTCTCAAAGAGTACACCTTCATTAAAATGCCTGCGATTACAGTTACAACAATTCTACATATGCATTTGTAACACTGAATGATATTAATCAAGAGTCTTTTAACGGAGGAGAGACAGCACTCACAAGATAGGCTTACTTACTTGAAACTGCTAGTCAATGTGAAACTACCGTCACAAGGTGAGTAGATTTTGATAACAAATGTTATTAAGCATAATTTTATTTTAACATTTCGGGTGGGACGTTTGAGAATGAATTTGTGGCAAAAACTAAATAGTGAAATATATTATTACCATTATTATTATTATTATTATTATTATTATTATTATTATTATTATTATTATTATTATTATTATTATTATTACCATTATTATTATTATTATTATTATTATTACTACTACTACTACTACTACTACTACTACTATTATTTATTATTGTTATTATTATTATTATTATTATTATTATTATTATTATTATTATTATTATTATTATTCGTTTAAGAGAGATTATTACCTGTTTGTCATTTACAGGAAAGAGCTGTTTGAATTTTTCATTGATTTTATAATCTGTGTATATACATATATGTATACATATTGTCGTTTAATCCTTAATTGCGATTGATAGAAAATTACGACGACGATTATAAATCCCGATAAATCTTATATTTTCCATTAAGATGAAATACGATACTTAGACTGCATAAAAATTGTGAGAAGGGAATGTTTTTATCTGATCCAATTTTCATCAGCCTAGACCTTGTTTATTTCTACTCAAGACAACCGACCTATCTTTGCTCATGCTTTGACAATGGTTGTCTGGGTTTGTAATTGTGATCTGGGCTGTACAACTGAAAACAATATTTGACGAATAATCGATTATACCAATATCGTTTATTTCTCTCTTCTTTGGGGGTGTAATGTCGAAATTATGAAAAATAAAGTAAAGAAAGTAAATAAAAAAAATAAAAAACTATATATACAAAAAAAGTATCTATATATATATATACGTCTTAACTCTGTCGGAAAGATTTTTACTTGCCACAAATCTGAAAAGAAATTCTAATTGATGATTATAATCAATAATTATAATGATAATTATTAAAACATATATAATGTGTTGGTGTTGACCAATGAATTAAACATTGATATATCTCGATTAAAAACGGTATCTACTAACGAAAACAGTCTCTAATATTTATAAAATAAAGTTATTGATGGAACCATTTGTTATACATATATTTTATCAATTTCTGATATCTCTAAAGTGTGAAAGATTAAAAACTTGAAATACGACAAACTTTTTGCCGTATGTTTAATTGATATATAAAATTAATCACTAAAATACCTGATCGCTATTGTGACATTATTTATAGTTATAATTATTCCCTCGAGAATATATCAAAAACGATAAATTAAATTTGCAAATTTGTAGGGAAATGTAACTTTCTTTTAATTCTTTAATGTGACGGTAACTTATTATAATTATGTATGGTTGCAGATTATAGCAGCTGCTGGTTGAAGAAACAATTTGATTATCGTTATCGAGGTTAGTTAAATTAATAATACAATTTCATTAAATACATTATTTTTAAAAATTAGATAGTAATTGTATTATCGCTTTGATTGTAGTTATACTTACTGGAATGAAGAAATGTGTGATCGGGAAAGCACATGATAATGGAACATGTCCAGGATGGGGAAATTAAGGATTTTTAAAAGTATGTATTTGATAGCATTAGATCAAAACTAATAACAGAAACTACGTCTAATTTTCTCTGTAGTCATTAATGAACGAACATTGGTCGAGCGTAGATATTAATGTTTGAAAACGTTCGATGCGTTTCATTGATCATTCTCTTTCGATAAGAAATCTTATTTCTAATTTTCATTCGTAGAATGTTTGAATGTTTATACGTATATCTATTTTCTTAGAATTGATATTTTTCATATTCAATTATTTATGTGATGAACACTTTCAACTGGAATTAACGATGATAGTATTCTCAACGTGTTCTGATATTAACGTAGTTGAATTTTTCTTTTTGCTTTCTTTCATTTTTTTTTTTTTTTTTTTAATGCAAGGATTTTTATTCAAGAATAAGTAATAATCTAAGTTTTTATTTTTTTTCAATAGAAATGAGAAAATGCTATCGAGTCCGTATTCTATATCCAGAAAAAAGTATAACACTGCGCATGGAAATATTTTATGGAAATAAAGGTAATAAATCAAATACATAAAACAAAAAATTTAGAAATTTCGTTATTTCTATTTTAAAATGAATTCACAAATAACAAAATGATGATTCCTTTCGGGACTGAAGACTGATGACAAACCTTAAATCCCAACGTGTAAATCAACTGAAGTTGCAATAACCTTTTATACATTATTTTTGCACGATACTACTTTTGTTTTCTAGAATCATTGTATGTTACAGATTTCACATTGAATTACAAATTGTTGGAAGGAAGAATTTTCGTGGATGATGGCGATAATGATACAGTGGTAATTAAAATGATTTCAATTATTACTTTGAATAATGAAAAATAAAACTTAGTAAAAAATACGATTATGATACAGTTTCAGAT